GAAAATAAGCATCCCTTAGATTTATGACTGCGAATGAGTCACCCTGTTGAAGAAAGGAAATGAAGTTTTCTAATGTGGCCATGTGGAATCATCTGGGTGCGACATAGAGGTTGAGGTGACAGAGGTCCAGGATGGGCTGGAGCCCATTGTCTCTTCGGGGGACTGTGAAATAGCAAGAACGAAGGCCTGGGTCGTTGTCTGCAGGAGTGAAAAGATCAATGACATCCTTGTCTATTAAAGACCAAATATCATCCTCCAGGACAGGGGATGATGTTGTTGTCCTGAAGAATCCCATGGGTGGAAGAGAGAGGAATTCAATCACATACCAGCTGCAATGATGAAGAGGACCCAAGAGTCCATAGTGACCCGGGTCCACGTAGATAGAAAGAATGCAAAAAGTGTGGTTTGTTGGGACATCAGCATTGAATGGGAGTGGACCTGGGGGTTGAAAAAGTCAAAGTTTCTGCTTGGTTTTTTTTTATCAGAGCACCTGGTAGACTGGTATGAGTGTTGCCTGTGGAAGTGCTGGTTGGTGGACGAAGATGGTGCTGAATATCTCTGTCTATCCGCTGAAGGTCTGTACTGTTGATAAGAGTAAGTATAAGGAGCAATAGTAATATTGTGTGTTGTAAGATCGTGCCATCTTTCTCATCTTTTGTAGGCTGTCCAGTTTCATCATTTTTGTTCCCAAAGAGTCTGTCACCATCGAATTGTAAGCCTTTAATGTGGGATCCTGAATCTTCTGACAGACCAGCAGAGCTGAGCCATGCATATCTACATAACACTATGGACATGGACACGTGTTTGGATGCTGCGGCCACAACATGGCATGCTGTGATTCAGTCTTGACAAGCCAGTGTCATAGCCTCTTGGTGGAGAGAGAAGCCTCAGTACCTTAGGTCCCCAGAAACTGCTTGAAGGATAGGCAGGACCTTATTCCATAAGTAGTGGTGATATGCTCCCATCACTGCCAAGTAGTTTGTTGCCTGTATAACAAATGAGACCAACAAGTAGATCTGGCATCCAATCACATCTAACCTCCACCTCACGTGGTTATTAGGGATGGTAGCAGGAGTGGTTCTGGGCTCTATGCTGGGTGGTGTGCACAATTGGGGGGGGTGCTTAGGTGCTTAAACGAAAGGTTGGTGTCATTGCCATGTGTTCTTGTAAATTTTTTTCACCCATTTGGTGCTTTGAGGAACAGAGGAAGGCTTACTCCAAGATTCTTTAATGAGTTTAGTAGAGAAGGAATCAAACCCATATATAGTGGTGAGGGCTTGGTCTTCGTTAATGTCCTCATAAACCCTGTCAGACTTGGTGCGGGGTAACTAGTTGATCTCAAGATCCATGACCTTCACTATGCAAAGGGTAAGTTGAGAATAAGCTGAAAAGTGCTCTGAGGGAGAGGGTGGACGGGCATCTGCAACATCGAGTTGTGCATGGGAAGGTTAGGTGTCACAGAGTCAGAGGCTTCGATGACAGAAGCCTGATGAGATATTCCCTGAGATGGGTATGAGTTGTCCGGAGAGATATCATGGTGCCCGTTTCTCGCTGCCAAGGGTGGGAGGTTAGTGTCATCTGGTGAGAGGGAGAGACATTGATGGTGCCTTCCTGGTGCCATGGGTTGGGTCTGGAGGAAGTTTTGTGGATGTGTGCAGTGTGGAGCGTCAAGGCAGTTGAGAAGGCAAGGTGTTGAGGAGGCTGATGGAGGCCCTCTGTAGACCTATAAAGATTAAGACCAGACCTGAGATAAGGTGGCAGCCGGACCATGGGCCTGTGTTGTCCGCAAGCAGTGGGATCACTTCAACACTGGAGCCAGGCGAGCGGTCTGCAAGTCTGTAGGGATAGGATGACTGAAATGATATTTATTTGATTTCGATACTGGGGGAGGAGGTTGAAAGCCTTCTTCGGAGGCAAAGTCCTGGAAGGTCTCCCTCTGCAACCAGTATCGTGGTGGTGATGGTGATGTCAAGGAGTCAGAATGGCAATAGTACTCATAGCGATGGTGCCCAGGCTCCAAGTAATATTGCTGGTGCACCAGTTTGTCCCAATAGGACCAAGATTCGGGCCTGAAATAGGTCAGATAGTCATAAACAGCGACACACTTACAGTATTGGTGTCGGGCCAGAGAGTCTTGCGGAGCTATTGTTTCTGGTCTAAAATGAGTTTGAAGTGGCTCAATGTGATAATGGCGCACATTCAAAGTGTGATTAATTTTCTTCACTCATTTACAAGGCAGCAGAGGTTCAGCCATTGCAGAGGCCGAGTCAGAGTTATGCATGGATAGTGAGCATCCCATAGACCTGTGGCTCGAATGTGTCAACAGGAGAACTGTGGTGACCTCAGCTGGGGAAGACTCATGAAGGAAGATCAAGGAAGTGAAGGGCAAAAGAGAAGAAAATCTTGAAGAAAGGAGGGGAAAGGAGCAAACTGAGCTCTTTCTCATCGAGACCTCAACAGCAGCAAAAAATAACTGAGGCACTCACCAGGATGTGCAGACCATGTATACTAAAGGGGCAGTCCTGGCAAACCCATGCTAAAGCTTTAGAAGATTTCCTCTGTGCAAGTGCAGAACAACCCTATTGTGTGCATTCAGTGACCATGAAGAAGAAACATTTGCTATTTTCAATTTCCTCCTGGAAACATTAACAAAGGTAGATATACTTGCCTGTGGGGCAAATTTGCAATTCAGTACAGTAGTTTAGAAATTGAAGTCTAGATGTTTAAATAAAGTTGAAATCCAGGAGTTCAAATACTGAGTTTTAATTCTCAATAATAATTACAAATTGATCTTTAGCCACTGACTGGGAACTGGGAACTGCAGCTGTCATTCCAAAATGAGCCCAAAACAGAAGGAACTCAATGACCAACAGGGAGGGGCAAAAGATACTGTAAGACAGTGGTGTCGAACTGTGGCCCTCCAGATGTTCTTGGCCTTCAACTCCCAGAAATCCTGGCCAGCAGAGGTGGTGGTGAAGGCTTCTGGGAGTTGAAGTCCAAGAACATCTGGAGGGCCACTGTTCGACACCACTGCTGTAAGATACAGTAAAGGCAGAGAAGTAAGGGTTACCCCCATACCAAATATCATCTGAGATACAAAGCTAAGAAGGCTAGCATTTAGCATTTAGAGGGGAGACCACCAGAGATTTTGAGATAGGACTAGGAAAGCATCTTGCCGAAAACCCTGCAGCCACTCAAAGTTGACAATACTGGCAGATGAACCAAAAGGCATACATTGGGTATTGGGTATCTTCCCATACGTATTCCTAAGATCACTTTGCTGTCATCTGTGACACAAAACAGACAGAACAATGTGTTGCTCTTTGTCTTAGATCTCAATAACCATGTGACTTGTGCTGTTTGCATTTCACCCACTGGCTGCTTGCTCCATTGATTACAACTTCTTGGAAATCCAGGGGATCCACCACATTGGTCCTAAAGAAGGCAAAGTCCTAAAGACTAACAAACATTTCAGAAAGTCCTCAAGCCCTATTAAAGTTAGCCCTAATGCTGATATTAAAATCCCTGAGGATCCACTATCCCAGATTTTTCTGAATACCATGCCCACTGCCACTTTGACCCTGTGGTACAAGAATTAAGGCTGCGGTTCTTGGAGATCCACATTTTAAACCCCCAATGTGCTATTAAGTTCACTGTATGATCTGGGAGCAATTGTTCTCCCTTAGCCTGACTTCAAAGAGCTGTTCTGGAGAGATTCTGTTTCAAGGGATTTGGGGCAATCAAGACGGCGACAAATAGTCTCCTCAAGCTGACTAAGTTAGATGCTGACCATGTTGGTTCTGACTATCCATGGCAGCCTATGTTGTCAGGGGTAACTCTGGGCTTCCTGGCTGCCACAGAAGCAAATGTATTAGTAGTTATTCTTTACTCTTATTGGTTATTCTTTCACGTGATGAATAGCAAATATGTAGTCCTCCACTGGACAACTTCCATCACTCACCACCATTAGCAATGTCAGATATATGGCTGATGGAAGCTGTAGTCCAGCAACATCTGGGGAGCTACATATACTCCATCCTTGTTCATCATTTGAACTAAAATATAACCCACTGTTTTATATTCAAATGGAAACCCTTAATCTTCCAACCTTGTCTGCTACCTAGGATACTGATTATGTTCTGTTCTGCCAAAAAAAAATATCTGAAGGAACAGCCAAATATTTGTGGACCTCTGACTTGGAAAAAACTGTCAAAATAAATCCTGCCTTCAGAATGGGAATGTGCAGGGTGGCTCTACACTTCACCTCCCCTGCCTCCCATCCTCAAGGGGCAGAAAAAGGTTTCCACACAGTTGGAAACACCAATTGAAGTATGAAGGAGACAGACTCGAATTTGTCTCCCTCTATCACCGAAAAAGCTTTCACTTGTACACAGTAGTCATCCCACAACTCCCGACTTCGTCAATTTCCAGCAGAAACAAATGTAACCATGGATAACTTTAAATACAACACAACACAATAATCAAATCCTTCCCAGAGAAGACAAGTAGCTAGAGATAAAAAGCGACAGGACCAAGTGCGTGAGAACTGAACGATCCCGCAGGTCACGTTCAAAGAACAAAGCAACTCTACCATGCTCTTAAGCTCGATACACGTGTTCAGCGGCGGTTCGCCTCCAGGTAAGCCAGTCCAGGTTTGCAAGTTTGAGAGGGAGGCTCGCAGGGCCGCGCGAGGGCTTCCAGACGTGCACCGGGGCAGCGGCAGGCACGGATTTTTTGGGGGGGGCACGAATTAAACGACAGTCGTAGTGGGGGAGGGGGAAATCGGTGAAGGGCTCGCTTTGGGGAGCGGCTCAAGACCCTCCCCGTCCCTCGCGCCGAGGCCCCGCGGGCGCCGGGCAAAAGCAAGCCGGGGCGAGGAAGGGGGGCGCCCCGAAATTGTGGAAAGCCAGGAAAAAGGAAGGGAAGCCCGCCTCCTCTTCTACGGCGTGAAACGGGGCATTCCAGCCCCCCCACTCGCACACGCACACGCAACGCCTTACCTTCACGGCGGGGCAAGCGCCGGCCGCAGCCATGTTGGTGGGAGACGAAGGGAAGGCGGGGCGGAGGCGGGCTCGCCGGCCTGGCCTCGCGTCTCCGCCCCCCTCGCCCGACGGAAGGGGCGCCCGCTGAGCTCTCTGTGGGGCGGAGAGGGGGGAACAAAGTAAACCGATGCTCCCCGTGTTTAAGGTGTATCGGCCGTACAAGTTAAAAATATTCCCTTTGTTGGTGGGATTTTAAAAAAAACAACACAGAAAATAAATCTACAGCTTCCTCTCCCCCCCCCTTCCCAGGAGGTTATATAGTACAATAAAAAGAACTGCGTGGCGGTGATTTGTGGCAATGATTCTGCCTGGTTACAACAAGCAGTGACTACTATATTGCGTGAAGTGAAATGGTTCAAAGGTGAGGTATTTCAGTGGAGCTCGCTGGTGGGAACTTGGCGTTCATTGGAGCTTCGAATTATTAAAGTTGTAGTTCTTCGGCCATTTACTCAGGAGCTATGAGATGGAGAGCACCGAAGAAATCCAGAAGATGCTTTATAGATTACAGCGAAGCCTTTGTGTGGATCATGAGAAGCTATGGGTTGTTCTGAAAGAAATGAGTGTGGCTCAGCACTTGATTGTCCTGATGCCTAACCTATATTGTGAACAAGAAATAGCACAGAATATGGAGAAAGAGAATGGTTTCCTATAGGCAAAGTGTCAGTGAAGGGTGCATTTTTCCTCTTACCTGTTCAATCTTTATGCAGACTATATCATATGGAAAGCTGGAGTGGATTCAGATGAAGGAGGAGTGAAACTGGCAGAAGAAACATCAGTAATTTCAGATATGCAGATGACACCATCTTAATGGCAGAAAGCAGCAATGACTTGAAAAACAATTTTGATGAAACTGAAAGAAGAAAGTGCCAAAGCAGGACTGCAGTTGAATTTTAAGAAGACCAAAATCACAACTATGGCGGAAATACATAACTTTAACATTTACAATGAAGAAATTGAAATTATCAAAGATTTTGTATGCCTTGACTCAATCATCAATCCAAATCGAGACCAAAGCCAAGAAGTCAAAAGGAGACTGAGACTCATAATGGCAGCAATCAAGGTATTAGAAAAGATCATCAAGTGAAAGACATGTCACTGGAGACCAAGACCAAGATCATCCACACTCTTGTATTTCTGATCACTATGCATGGGTGTGAAAGCTGGACAGTAAAGAAAACTGACAAGAAAAAAATTAACTTGAAATCTGGTGCTTGTGGAGAGCTTTGCAGATACTCTGGGCTGCCAGAAAGATAAACAAGTGGGTCCTGGATCAAATCAAGCATGAACTATCTCTGGAGACAAAAATTATGAACCTGTGGATATTCTACTTTGGGCCCATTATGAGAAGGAAAGATGCACCGGAAAAAACAATAATGCTGGGAAAGGTTACAGGCAGCAGGAAAAGAGGAAGACCAAATAGGAGATGGATTGACCCCCTTAAAAGAAGCTACAGCTTGAGTTTACAAGAGCCAAGCAGGGCTGTTGAGAACAGGACATTTTGGAGACTGCTCACTCATAAGGTTTCCATAAGTCAGAGGTGACTTGATGGCACATGACAACAATCCCAGGTCAACCAGAAAAGTGTGTACATATATGTGTGATATGTGTACATAAGTACACAGAAAGAAACAGGCATGTGTGTGTGTGCGTGCGTGCGCACACACACACACACACATCCTACAGCTGAAGAAGTAAGCTACAGTCCAGAAAATTTATGCCATAGTTATCTTGTTAGTTTTTAAGTTGCCATAAGATTTTCTTTGTTTCACTGAAACAGAAAATAAACTAACACAGCTGCCCCTGTGGAAATAAATACAGCTTACTGTCCAGAAGATGGCAGCACATTTGTAATTATTTGCCCTAATGTTTCTTAGCACATTGACTTACATCTAGGTGAACAGATATGATCTCTCTTCTCTTAAAATGACAACATTCTTCTGCCTTTGCCCAGTGTTCTTATTAATACAGAAAGTTTTGCAAAGTACAGTACAAAGCACAGCACCTTCACGCTCTACTACATTAATACTCAATGGAGCTCTTGGCAAATCTGTGTTGGCTTCTAGTTATTACACCATTGTTTTCTATGGCGTTGTGTAGTGACTGTTTTAAAATTTGTTCCAGAATTTTGCCTGAGATTGATCTCAGGCTGACTGGCCTGTAGTTCCCAGGTTCCTCTTTTTTGCCCTTTTTGAAGATAAGGACAACATTAGTCCTCCTCCAGTGATCTGGTACCTCACCCATTTACCATGATTTCAAGAAAATAATGGATAGTGGTTCTGAGAGTTTTTCAGCCAGTTCCTTCAGAACTTTCGGATGCAGTTCATCCAACTCTGGAGGTTTGAACTCGTTCAAGGTGGTAAGGTATTCATTGACCATTTATTTATCCATCTCCAGCTGCAATCCTTTCCCCTCCACTTGCTCTTCAGATTTCTCTGGAGGTTCATCATCTGTCCTATGGGAAAAGACTGAGCTAAAATAGGAGTTGACCACATCTGCCTTTTCTTTGTCATCTGTTAACATGTTTCCATCTTTATTGAATAGCTGTGCCACTATTTCTTTTCTTGCAGAATGTTTTTATTGCTTTTAGTGTCTCTACCTGATCTCAGCTCATTCTCAGCTTTTGTTCTCCTAGTGCCATCCCTGCTTTTCCTTGCTACATGTCTGTACTCTTGCTTTGTGGCCTGGCCTTCTTTCCATTTCCTATACATATCTTTTTTTTCTTTGTTTGTTTTCAATTCTTCCCTAAGCTTTTTGTGCTGCTGATGTTATTGTTATGACCAAAAAGTTTTGCAAAGTTTAGAGAAATAATACTTTGTACCATAAAGTTTTTGATGCACTGGTTAATATAACTCTAAAATCTTGGCATGCTAGACTTTCGTGAATACAGTACTATAATCAGTAAAAGGGGGCACTATAGGACTTACAAATGCCATCTTCATATTTACACGTTGTAATATAAACAAGTTTTAATTAAGACAAGGATTTCTATGACCTAAACATCACAGAAATATGCCAGCATTTTATGACCTTAAGATCCTTTAAATATACTTAAAAATATGACTTTACACTTTTTCTGAAATTAGCACTCACTTTTTAAAAATATGTTTTACTTCCATTGCATTCCATTTGAAGTAATTATATGAACATTTTGAAAGTAAAATGGTCATACCTGGATTTGTTTCATCTACAGCAAAATGGCATTAAACGTCCATTTTGAGGTTATCAACTCAAAACTCATTTTGTTGTCTGTCAGTATGTTCTTGTATCTGGAGAAGCTGCTTGATGTCACAAGGTTATAGGAACAAATCTCAAAAAAGCCAACTCACCGAGAAAATTCTGGCTTGATGTTGTCAAATTTTGCTTCAAGTCCATTTAGAATATTACTTAATTTGCAGAGTGTTGAACAACTCAGATTAGATTGCAACACTCGTTGTAGTTGATCACTAGTTTTTCCTCAGCCACTTTTCCTTTTGCTTGCTTTAAATCACCTCAGATTTTTTTCTACAATTTTCAGTGCATCACTCAGCTCCATTCCTACAGTTTCAAAGTGAGTGATTGCTCTTGATAATCCACTAAGTCAGATTTTATATAGGCCAAGTTTCCAGCCAAGGTTTCAGAAAAGGAATCTTGCACAAACTTGATGGAGGAAGATTCACATTAGTCAAATCCTTTAACTATTTGCTGCAAGGAATCATAATTTGTGGAATGATATATAGGCAAGTCCCTCAACACCATCACAAGTTTGGGGAGGAAGAGCCAAAGTACGACCAATTTCTTTGAACATTTGTACTTGAAGTAGAACTTTAACAAGCGTTTTTCCCTATTTGAAATTATCTCGTCTACATCAAGATAGTTGCTTTGAATCTCTTCAGCCACTCTTTGCAAACCATGTGCAAGGCGTTTGATATGGATGATTTTTGGCTACAGACGTTTACGTCTCTTGGCTGCCTTAGTCATGTACAGAGCTGTGTTACAAAAAGGAGGACATTTCCTCTTTCTTTTTTTTCCCACCATACAAGAAGAGTAGTTTCATAGAGTCATAGAAGAACATAGCAATAGTGGAAGTCGTTACTTTCTGAAGAATTGCACATGTTAGAAAAAATACTTCACCAGGCCTATAACATTTCAGAGTGCCAATAACAACATTAGCTATATATCTTCTGTTTACATCACTTATTTCATCTATTGAAACCCATATCTTACTGTTGCCAACAGTAGATCTTATCTTTCCTAACACGTCTTCATAGAAGGCAGAGATGTAATTTTCCCTTAGAGTTTATTCTTTTGGAATCAAATGATAGGAGTACTTCTGCAAGAAATGTCTGAAGCTACCACTACCTAATTTCTTTAAGGGAACATTTGAAGTAACCATCACTGTAAGACATTCTTACAAATTCTGACTGAATATTTAATGAACATGAAATTGAAGAAGCTGTATCCATAAGGAGATGTTGCCAGTCCTCAACAAAAGTAATTCTTGCTAAACAATTCTTATGTTTTGTGGTAATGTTGTTGACTATTAAAACACTTTTTTGCTAATATCTTAAATTCATACAATTTACAAAACAAAGTATCACCTTCACTAATGAAAATCCACTCCCCAAACTCTTAAACAAAATGCCATAATTTTACACTTGCTGAACATATACTTTTAGGTATGATGAAATCATCAGGAGAGTTGCCGACAACCAAAATATGACCAAAATATAACTTTTATTATAAAATTAAGCAGAAATATGTTGTAACACTTTTAAAAAACATTTTATTCGTTTTTCAATCGATCTACATTTAATTCGTGCTTGTCAAACATTGTGTTACATGGGTTGCTCACTATTATTTGTTTTTTTGTGTCTTGGTGTCTTCTTAATTGTCCCGTCAAAATCTGTACATTTTTAAAACATTTAAACTGTTCATGTGCGTATTTTAGTATACAATATTGGCTACTATTATAATATTGCTGTCATAGTATACAATGTTCTCAAAATCCTCTAATAACATATCTGATAAAAGTAATTCCAATTCCAAATCTATATAATTTGAGCTGATTTA